GCCCCGGGCGTTGCTCCTCCTCCTGCTCCGGCCGCCGGCGGTCGCGCTGCCTGCGGCCCATGGCGGCCCAGCCGCGTACGAGCCCCGCCGCACGCCGCAAGGTGACGGTGAGGGAAGGGCGAGTGCCGCCAACGCCGCTGCCGCACAACACGGTCGGCTGGGCCACTGCGCACGCGCGACCAGGGAGAGGGCCTCTCCTCACGAAAAGAAGCCCTCTCTAGAGGCTGCTTTAGAGCTCGCCTGAATGGTAGAACCATTATGCTGGAGCTGGCTTCGGCCGAGCCCCACCAGCGAGCAGGGTCTCTGCACAGGCAATGCGTCCCGGATTCCCTGAGCCGAGCAGGTAAGGATTTTCCGAAGCATCCCAGGAAGAAACAACGTGAATGTCAGGCAACATCGCCAGTAGCCTTGCTTCTACGCATGCGCCTGCTGCAGCAGGCGGGGCCTAAACTCCTCGCTTCCCATTGGCTGGCCGGAATGACTGACAGGCTTTCCTGGGAGAGGGGTAAGTTCAGAGATCCTAGCGCAGCGGGCCCACGCGGCGTCCGACACTGGCGCACATGGCAGCCACGGTAGGCGGGGCCACGGCTCCGGCTGGCTCCGCCCCCCGGCGCTGATTGGCCGGCGGCGGGCGGCTGCGGCAGAAAAGCCGAGGTAGCGCGGTGGTTTCCTCAGTGGTTGGTTGGGCGGGCGCGCGGGTAGTAAGTGGAGTGTAGTCATGGAGCAGTTTTGGCAGGAGGTGGCTAGCCCGGCAGAGCGGAGGCTGCTGACGGCGCTGGGCTGTGCATTGGCGGGCATCGGGCTGGTTCTGGCGCTGGTGCTGCGCTGCGTGCATCTGTCCTACGGCCGCTACACCTCGCTGTACTTCGGGCCCGGCCTGCCCGCCCGCGCCGCCTGGCTCATGCAGGAGCTGCCCGCGCTCCTTGTGCCGCTGGCCCTCGCCCTCGGCAGCGGCGCCGCCCGCTTGCACCACCGCCCCAACCGGGGCCTGTTGGGGCTCTTCCTGATACACT